GGACTTGATTGGGTTGTACCTTCCACTGGCGTATGCGCATATTTTTTCTGTATTTCTGGGGTCGTATTTCTGTTTCTTCCATTTGCAAATTCCTCCCCAACCTTCCATACATCCATCTGTTTCTAGGATTATGAAACATTCCTCAGGGGGTACTTCCAAGTCAGGAAGGTTCTGCACCAGGTTTTTGATCTTCCTGACTAGCTTCCAGTCCTGCTCATTCATTCTTCTCTCACCAGTTGGGCTTGTTTTTGAATACAGTGGGCCTAATAGTTTGCCTAGGTTGGGTATATAGCTTCTTGCATAATTCAGAATTCCCAACCATGATCTAAGACCCTTCTTTATCATGAGGTCCTTTTCTTGATACTCAGCGATCCTTTTGATGATATGGGGTTGTAGCTTGATTTTTGAATTCCCTAGGACTGCTCCAAGAAACTCGATTTCTCTTACTGCAATCTTCATTTTTGTTGGGCTTAGAATAAGACCGTTTTCTTGACATATTTCCAACATTTTGGTGAGATGTTGCCCATGCTCCTTCTCATTTTTTGAGAACACAAGTATGTCATCTATGTACACAGCAATAAATTGTTCCGTACCTCTGAAACAGTTGTCCATTTTCCTTTGGAATATAGCAGGGGCATTCTTAAGACCGAATGGCATTGCAAGCCATTCGTATAATCCTTCGGGAACCCAGAATGCGGTCCATTCGATTGAATCTGGGTGCATTGCGACTTGATGGAAACCAGATTTTAAGTCAAATTTTGAATAAATTTTGCTGTTACTAACCTTCTTGAGTATTGTGTTGATACCGGGAAGGCTGTATTGGTCTTTTTCGGTAATGTCGTTAAGCCTCTTGTAGTTGAAGACCATCCTTTCCTTCCCCTTTCTTTCTGTTCCTGTTATAGGGTCCACTGTAGTTCCTGAGTTGACAATTATAGCCGTAGTTCTGTGCTTGCTTTTACTTGGTCTAATGATCCCGATCTCTAGTAGTGCTTTCACATGTTTGGAAAAGGCTTCTTTTGCTTGTGGTGTCAGATGTCTAAGAGGTTTATCTTCTACCACAAAGTCTGGATTCTTAATTTCCAGCTTGCATGTTATTTTGTTCTTTTTCCAGTATTTGAGGGGATCTTCTCCAATATAACCTTGGGCCTTTAATTGATCCAATAAGCTTCCAAACTTGGCCTTTATGCTTTCATTACTTTGTTGAGTTTCTGCTGAATATAGTACTGATTCCTGGATCTGGATATAATCATCTTCTTCCAGATCTAGCTCCTCTATTGCTGCGGCTGTTGAGATGTAAGGCAGAGTGTTAATAGTTGTCAAGTTTTTATAGAATGTGACAGTGTTACCTTCAATCCTTACTCCTCCCTGCATTGCCCTTATGAAATTACAGCCTATTATCATTTGAATGTCATCCCCGAGCTTCATTGGAAATGCATAAGTGTATGGTATTCTGAAACTGTTATTTCCAATAGTCATCCTTCCTCCCCTTAACTTCAAGTTTGCTGTTGTTTTAGAGGTAATCCCACTGAAGTGCACTACATAGGGATTCTCCTCTATTGCAGCTTTTGGTACAACCCTTTCGTCTATACAGCAAGTTGTAGCTCTTGTATCCAATATAGCGTTAATTTCAAAAAGGGGAATATTTAGGATTTCCATATGTACCTTTAAGTTGAAGAGCATGTTCTTAGATTTCCTTGATCCTCCAGTCTCTTTTGTCTCCATAGAAAGAATTTTTTGAGTTTCTTCCTCTAAAAGAACAAGAGCCTCTTCATCTTCTTCACTTTCTTCAATTTTTACCTTTCCGAGCCTTTGTATTTCTCTTAGGAGGTCTGCCTTTTCTAGTCTCAACCTGTCTACTTCCAGGATTTCTTCTTCCAGTTTACTGTA